TTAAATTCGATGAGAATTGTTATAACTTTCTTATTCGACTCAATTATTCAGAATTGTAAACAAATGTGGACGCTTGCTTACTCACAGATGCTCGAGAAATTTATAGATGCAAGAGTCCATATAACGTCCTTTCAGGGATACAAATGAAAAGACATAATTTGAAGAATTTGCATAAAGGCATAAGTTATTCCCGTTGGGATTATAGACAGGCAATAATATGGCGCCTTAATAATCAATTTGAGGAATATTTAAGAGGTCAATTTATCAATGCCAATGTCACACCTTTATATTGGGGCAGCATTATCAGAAGCTTCAGAAAGTGTCCTATGGGCTTCGCCAGCAAATTTCTTCAAATCAAGCAACAAAACTTGAAAGTATCGAAAATGTAACTTTGAGCGTTCCTTGATTAGTAGTCTGCATACAGTGAATAGCTCAATATTATTAAATGGAAAACTGTTGTTTTACATAGAGAAAGGTCGAAATCATCGAATTTGTCGCTGATCAAGATAAATGCAAGCGCCTGATATATATCAACAGACTTTTGTATTTATACTTAAAATTCTTATGATATTTCCCACAAGTTACAAAAGTGGTTTACAATATGCTTTTGTATCTCAATACCAAAACCTTATTAAACATTATTAAGCATTCTTCAACATGTCAAATATAAGCTTATTTAACGTTATTAAACATTATTATTTTGACTAGACGATTTTTTCAATTCCCTGTCATATATAGTGTTATGGAGTTTTATGATGAAAATAGATCTAAGGTAATGATTTTATATACAAACGCTCTTTTTATTTGAAATATTTTGAATTTTTCTCAATTTTTCACTCGATTAATATTTTTGAGTTTCTTTTCTTTCATTTTTTTCGCAATTATTCAATTCCTACAACTGCTTTACATTACATTAATTTTATAACGGAGAAAGAGACATTAAGCATATAAGCACGGTTTTCCACCTTGATGTAGGCGCCATAAATAAATGGTCCAGACAGGTCAAAGAAAGCGCCCTTAATGCCATTACAACCAAAACATAACGAACATAAATAAAAAAACCGTCAAAGTCATTATTTCTCGCAATGCTGATCCATAAGCATGGGAAAATCCATTACCATTACAAAGATGGTTAACGACTAAAAATGATCAACATAGGCAACCGGATAACAATTTAATTTGGAGAAAAGACCCTAGCGCTGAGGTCAAAGCTAACCGAGATGTTCAATTCGAAGCGCAAACAGATTCTGAGAAAAATCAGGAAAGGGGCGAACGAGATAGTAATTACGATTACTCAAATAGCCTGAACTGAGACAATTTGACGGCTTGGGTTCGTACATATTTGCATTACAGTCAGTTAACACGGGCGATCAGCTGTTTCTTATTTACAAAATATCAAGACTTCATGAAATGTAGCACAAATTATGCTACGCTTGACCTATTCGCGCCTAACTCGAGCAATAAAGACAAAAAAAATTAGTTAAAATTAGAAATTCTTGGACATATAAGCCACAAACCTATTGGCTTAGTCCATCTCCGTTCAACATACCAAAAAAAAAAAAAAAAATGAGAAATTCCGACTTGTCATCAAAGTCAATAGTGAAAGTGTCCTACAGTATAAGCGATAGTTTTAAATTAATATTTAATGTAAGTAAACCCGTATTCAAAAATCCGCGTTAAAGTCAACTTTCCTTCTGGACTTTTAATATTAAAATACGAATTCGTAGTTTCAACGCCCTTATCAATCCTTACTGGCAGGCTAGAATATTATTGTCGGCATGTCTTGCTTGTTGTTTTTTTTGCACTTCCAATAAACAGTTGCTTAATCTTTTTTAGCAATTGAAAAGTAATACCCAGATTGCTTGTTTTTCTCAACAATTTGAATTTATAGAATTATTAGAAACTCTAAATGCAACCGAAAGGGTAAGTTTATCACTATACCATATTGATAGGAAATTGTATTTTTATAATAAATAATTTGTGGGAGAGTTACTACGAGGTACTTGTAATTCGTATCTCCCGCTGTAACATGTTTACTTGCATTTCTTTCAGTATGAACCATACTTCGGGATAGCAGCTCCAGGATTGTGGTAGCTTAACTGTGGAAGCAGCTACTCTAGTTGAACGGGTGTAGCTGTATTACAGATAAATTACAAAAATTTTTAATTTTGTTTTTCTCTTTTTTTTATCAGTTAACACGGCTTCCCGTCGTCAGTAAAGTTGCTTTTGGAATTCGTGCTGTGTTGTTACAGTAACAGAAATAGCGTAACAGCGCTTAGACTTTCATTTCACAACTCGTTCTAGTTCAGTAGAAAACCGGTTCATGAGTCTGACTGTGAACGGGGTAGAAATCCCATGGCAGCCCCGTTGGGTCCGCGGAATACAATTGTGACATTGATCTGCCCCCCCCCCGACATGTAGAATGTTTTAGCCGCTGAATTTATAACCTTGCATCAAATTGTTTAAAGATATAAAAATTCGTAAGGTATTTAGAGATCTCAATTACAACCGTGAATAATATATTTTATTTTTTTTCAGACGAAGGAACATATTGTGGAAAAGAACATTCGCAAGCACCACCTAAATCGCTACTGTTGGCCCAAACCGAAGATTATATAGAGTATTCGCGTAGCGGCAAAGGAATGGAAAAACCAAAAGCTTGTAGTATATATGAGGATATTTATCTTAGTAATATCTTAGTAATATATAAACTGGGATTATCTGGGAAAAATGAAAATCTCATATTAATCTCATGTTAATTCTATATATATATATATAATATATAATCTTTTTTAAATAAATGTATAGAAAATATGCATTCATGTACCCTTGTACGTCTCCTCAATAGTTTTATACAATTTTTATAGGCGTGG